CTTGATTTCCCTTAGCCCATAGTACTTCTTCACTGTGTTGGAAGTTTTCTTTAATTTCTTACATCTCCAATCTCAGCTCCTGGATGGGGACTTTATACCAAGACCAGACTCCTCCCCATCGTCCACTCTTGGATGGGATGGGATGGGCAAGCCCTTCTTTGGTCCCATCTCCTCAGCAGTCAGAATGCCACTTCTGTCATGGTTGTAGGCGAGGTAGCTGGTGCAAGGTCCTACCTTCTGTTCCAGTCCCTTTCCTGGTGATTCAGTTCAGATGTTGGCCTCCGCCTCTTCTTTGTGCCTTTGCTTGTACCACCTCCACCTAAGATTTGGCTCTATCATCTACTACAGTCAGGCTCCAGTCAAATATTGATGACAGGCTAGTCTCAGGCCTCCTGCAAAGTGCCCTCTGCACACCTGGTCACTGGGCTCCCCTTGCCTTCTGTGGCTCCTAGTTCTCTCAGAGCAGGGGTGGGGAACCTGTGGCCTCACAGCCACATGTGGCCTTTTAGGTTCTTGGCTGCAGCCTTTTGACTGAGGCCAAGTTTTACAGAACAAATCTTTTTAAGGGGATTTGTTCTGTGAAGTTTGGATCTAGTCAAAGGGCCGCACTTGGGGCCCTCATCTCAGACGTTCATTCCCTGGCTCTGTCTGCCTGTATACTGGACCTATCAAAAAGCTAGCTCTGTGAAAATGTTTAATAGGAATGTATATGTACGCCGTCTTGGGGAGGGTGAGAAAAATTTTAAACTCAAAAGGTTATGGAAGTGATTGTTGATAAGTCAAAATAAATTAATTATAAAAAAAGCTAGCTCTGCTCCCACCTGCTGCTGCAACAGGTTAGAGCTGTGATCCCCTTGTCTGTGGGAACGTGCACTTCTTTCACATCCCCTGGCATAACCCCTACAAGATACAATACCAGTTTGCTAGAGATTGGTCTGGCTTCTGACTCCCCCAGCTTGGAGCTCCCACAGATTTAAGGACCTACTTACAGTAGCTCGTATTGGTTACCTCCCCTCAGCACCTACAGGCTTTTGGCCACCTTCTTGGACAGTCCTGGACAGGATGAAAGAGTTTATTTATGTTTCTCTTTGGTCCCTGGGACATTTTTCAACCTGGTGCGCTTATAGATCGTTGCTGGAACGTTTGTGGGAGAATCACCCTCCTTAACCAGAGATTCAAAAGTTTTTGTTGGTAATGAATGGATTGCAGGTCTGTTCAAATCCACTGTGCCCCTCTCTGCTGCCCTCTGAATGAAGGAAGAACAAGTCTCCCAGTGATGCACCTGCTTGAGGATGGGTGCCTGCCTTCACAGGAATGGTCAACTTGCCAGAAGGCCCCCATCTCAGGCTCATGCCAAGGGGCCGTTCTTGGTTTTTCTGCTGCTCTCATGCCTGTCTGACAAAGGGCATCAGTGAAACAGATGAAGCTGTAGAGTGTGGCTGTCCTTTTTAAAACAGGAGAATCAGAGTTGGGAGGAACGCCAGAGGAGGTCTGACCATTAGCTGAAAGAATCCTTTCTACCATATCCAGTAAATCGTCATACAGCCATACAGTGAAGGGAAATCCGCTTCTTTTTGGAGACAGCTAATTCTGTGTGGATGCCTCTAATTGGGAAGACTGTGTTTGCTGACCCTAAATCTGCCTATGTTAATTTCCCATTCATTAGTCACATGATATAACACATCTGATCCCTCTTCCGTATAACAACTCTTTGAATATGTGAAGAGAGCAATCATCTCCCCACCAAGTCTTCTCTTCTTCCAATGATCATGTTCTACCATTTGTCTATGTCATGGTTTCAAGCCTCCAGACTCTCCTGGTATCTCTTCTTTGCACGTGCTCCAACTGGTCAACGATCCTTAGAATGTATGGTACCTGGAACTGGCCACAACTGATCATCTTTAGGCTGACCCAGGAAAAAAACACTATCACTTCCTTGACTCTTACACCCCCTAACTTGAGTTTTCTATCCACTAAACTCTCCCCTCCCCCTTTTCCCTTCGTGAAGTGCTTTTCACCACGTTTGCTTTACTCTGTACTTGGTAGTTAATTTTTCTTAACCCAGTGACTTCATCCTTATCCCTATTTACTTTCATCTCATTGGCTCTAACTAACATTCCAGCTCATCAAGGTCTTTGTGAATTCTTATTCTGTCCTCTGCTATACTGGCTAGTTCTAGTTTTATGTCATTTAGAAAGCATAAAAATCAAGTCATTCAAGACACTGATTTTTTTTAAGGTGTTCAAAACATGGCCAAGGAAAAGAACCACGTGGCCCTCCATTAGAGTTCTGTCCAGTCTGACTGCCCTACAGTGGAATTCATTAGCTGCCCCACATGGCCGGGGCAATCACCTGGTCGAGCCCTCTCCCTGCAGAGAGATGATGTGCCTCCTCCAAGGTCACACAGCTGGCAGGTCCTCTGAGTAACCCTAAATCCAGTGCTCCTTCTAATACCTCATGCCGGCATTCAGTCAATCCACTCGTTCCAGCCCACTTACTGCCACCATTTTCCATCCAATCCATATCTTTTTTACACCTTGTTCACCAGGAGACTAACTCTGGAGAATGAGCGTCCAAAGAAGTTCCCCGGCATCCTACTCTAGGCACATCGTCAAAAAGGAAAGGAAGTCAGTCTGGCATAACTTGTTCGTGGTGAACCCAGGCCAGCTCTTAGCTATCCCTTTCTCCCTTTCAAAGTGCTCCTAAGTCATTCTTTAATAATTCACTTTCAAATTTTACTAGCCTTGTAAACTTCCTAAATTTAGTGATATCCAGTTTTAAGAATCATTTTTTAGATTCCATTATCATTAGGTCCAACATTATTTCTAACTTAAGAAAGAAAAACAAAAACAGAAGACAAAAGGAGAATTGCTGACTTTAATTTCTTATTTAAATATAGTGATTTTTTTAAAAAGTAAACTATAAAACTTTACACTGCAAATATTTTACATAAATGTAAACATGCATATTTCTACCCTATAGTAAAGCAGCTATGAAAATAAACTCTAGGCAGAAGATTTTGAAAATTGTAATCATAGAACCAGATAACTTTAAGTTAACTTGTTAAAATGAACTCAGGACAAAAGTGATGATGAGGAAATGGCAATGGTAAGTGATGATCATTATTCTACTGCTCTTTTACTTCAACCTACACCTGAGTTTCTAAAGTACCACCTACCACACCACATTAGAATAATTCCATTTTTTACTATAACCTAATATACATCCACATGAGAATATTTCTTTCAAAACAACACATAAATACATCACAAACACACACATATCCTACTGAATCTGTTATCTTAATCAAGGAAAAGGGATTCTGGAGTCTTAAGGTTTCCGACAAGCAAATATAAACACCACACATGAAAAAAACATGAGACTATTACAGACAAAAAGCAAATAAAGAATAAGTAGTCTTGGTTTCAGCTAAAAATCTCGAGTCTGCTAGTATCCAAACCCTACTGTGATTTTATGTGTAAAATTTAAGCACTGTATAACAAGTATTTCCAAAAGGCAGGGTTCTGAGACTTCTGGCTATCCACTAGGACCACCAGTCTCTAAACGGAGACAAATAACCAAAAAAAAAAAAAAAGGAAATTTGAAAAATTCCACAAGATGCTTCAAAATGTTGAAAACATCCATGGCTCCCATGTCCAAGTTGTCATCCAAAGTATGCATATTCTTGGAATGCCCTACCCTCCATATTTCCCCTACCAGTCTACTATATCTGAATAACTAACCATAGTGCTATGTGCAAATAATGCGTTTACACAATCCTTTCTGACAATTAGCAAATGTACATCTTGACTTGAAGATGTTAGAACCAAGGTCCTATTTGCTTCCTTTAGCATTTGTTTTTATTTAAAATTTAAAAGCTTACACAGGAAACCTTAGTTTTAAATGACTGAAATCTGGCTTAAAGAATTGGGCAAGTTAATAATAGCAGTGAAATACTTAAATATTCCTTATTTCCAGCAATAATATAAACTGATGATGGTATTGTCCATCTATAATGTTAACACTACCAATGGATTATAAATAAATTATCAATTCATTATAAATAAATTCTTTTACTGCATTAAATTCAATCTAAAAGCCTGAGATTTGGGTAAGAACCAAAAAGTACTTAAAGGTCACAAGGCAATGAGGTTTATTCCCCCTTACTTGAACTCCCAGCTTTCTTTGGACAATTTGTAAGGGGAAAGCTAAAGTTTTTCTCCCCTTCCTCCTGCCCCCTAACCCTGGCTCCCCTTAATTATATTCCTTTGAGCTTCCCCCATGTGTCTTGCACCCCACGTTTAGATTCAAATGCTCCTTCTACTTCAGAACTGGTGTTGAAGAGCTGACAGGTAGGGGAATGGTGGAGGTGAAAAGGAAGCATAAGTCAGGGAGGCAACAGGGCAGAAACTAATTTAAAATCTATATGCCCAGTAAACATAAGCAAAAGAATTTTGTGTTAAGAAATATGTATTCTGGGGCAGCTAGGTGGCGCAGCGGATAGAGTGCTGGCCGTGAAGTCAGGAGGACCTGAGTTCAAATCTGCACTCAGACCAAACACTTGACACTTACTAGCTGTGTGACCCTCGGCAAGTCACTTAACCCCAACTGCCTTAAAAAAAAAAAGAGCCAGGAAATAAAAACAATGTTAAAAATGCATTAAAAAAAAAGAAAAAAAGAAATATGTATTCTAATTATAAGCAATGGGATGTTCATTTGGACTGTATGGAGACCTACTGCATGTGCACTTAAAAAGGTACACTTAATTGTAACTTAGGATTGCTGTCCTAGAACAACATTGTCATTTTATCAGTATTTTAAGCATTTTGCAGATCTGTACAAAACAGGGCATATTTTGTCTTGCTTCCATGTACATAAAAATACAACCTATAATTTAAACATAGTGTATAAAAGCGGGGAGGGGGGGAGTCCCCAAATCAAGGAGAGTTATGGTCCTTTCATATGATACTTTCAAACTCATCCTGGGATATTTTTTAAAATCTCACTTCTAGTTCATACATTCAGTAGTTTTCTTCCCTAACTCCTACTACTCAGAGTCATTCCTATATTTCTTTTTTAAAAATCCATTCCTTTTACAATCCACTGAATCAATTATGTCCAATGAAAGCTGAATATGAGCTCATGGTTTTCCCTTATCAACTCAGTACTCAAACCTCCAATTTTATCCAGTCACTGCACCTATACATGGGGTTTTTCTGTCCTGTACAGAGCCAACTTTCACAGGCCCACATTCAAACCAGAAGTAAAATGGTAGTCATGACTTTCACAGTCTAGGTACAAGCTCCAATATGTATCTGATTGCTCTATGTACATAGATCACTGGTTTTGCTACATACCTAAGCTCTGCACACAGTAGGTGTTCAATAAATATTTGATTAAATATAAAGGGAGTCATTATGGTACAATAGAGAAAGTGCTGGAGCCTTGGGTTTTACTCGCATCTGCCTCTCTAAGCCTCTTTGCCTGGACTGGATCACATACAATGTTCTCTCTACTTCTGAAAGTCTATGCCTAAGTATGTCTCTACTGGCCTATCAGGTCAAGCCTAATTAGGCAAAGAAGGCTAAAACCTTCATCTCCACGTGGTCAATAATTAGAAGAGACTTTAACACACAAAGGCCGAATCATTTGCTTCGGCAATGAAAATGACATGTCCAAACTAGTGACTGTGACTCAACCTCTGAAAAACCAAGATCCCCCTTCCCCCGACTGTTCAGGTTTTCCATCCACAACATTAACCAAAAAACCACCCCCCTAGTTACTCACTCTACGGATCTAGGTAAAACTTGTAAAACTGTATTCACATAATATATACAAGAGCACTCCTGCTCGGGCTCGGTGACAGCTCCTCCCCAAGCACTCTCCTTGGCAGTGGCTTCCTGCTTGTGTCCTGCTGCCCCCACACGTCCTACCAAAGAGACGGATGCAGGAGGCTCCAATGCTAGTCATCGCTGTCACTGCCAGACTCACTCAACTGTAAATCATTTCCTGTAAGAACAAATCAAAAATAAAATCACAGAATTAAGTTAATGCCTTAAAATTTTTCAGCTGACAGCATTCAATATCGGCAAGTAAAGAATTCTCTTTTAAACCTTACAAGGATGCTTTTTTTTTTATCATTTTGACTAGTGTTATACCAAATCACAAGACGTTATTAATTTCATGCCCTGATACTGTTGGGCTTGGTTTCAGTAATGCTGAGACTGTAAAAAGCCTATAATTATACCCTTGGCTCAGTGAGGGGTACTGGGCAGGCAGAGTCATTACACTTAATTTGTGTTTTCTTGTGATGAGTTAACTTGGTTGGACCACCAATTCATGTTGAGTTAACTCAATTAGTTTCTCCACTGTTACTGTCAGAGTTTCCAATTCCTCCACAGCTTAAACACACCAGGGAAGGATATTCATCAGTAAAGAAAAGCAGTATAATCAGGTTAGGGGTACAGAAAGATCCAACATATCCCCCACACACACACACACTGTTCTTCCTCTTCTCTTTTTAATTGGCTGCAGTAAAATGCTGCCAAATGTGAATGCCTGACCTCCCTGTGTCCCCTCCTGATGGCCAGAGCCTGCTGTGCCAATAAAGGCGCCCCTCCACTGAGGATGTATCGATGAATGTTTTGGAAGACTTGGATTCAAGTCTTTCGGGTCGTGACCCAGAGCTAGTGCCTTCAGCTGTGGGTCCCAGACTCCCGGGGACAATCAGTGGCCCAACAGTGGCTGCTCTGCATGGCTGGTATGGGGAGGCCCCTATGCCAATGAAATGAAAGGTCAGGACTAAAAAAAAATGGCAGCTGCTGGGGGACGTGCTGGTGACAAAACCACATGAAAAGGACACAGTGCCCACCTCAAGGAGCTTGCGCTCCACTGGGGAACACATGATGTCCATATCTAAGTACATCTATATAAGAAACACAAAGGCTCTCACAAGACGGGCTCGGGCAGCCTTGGGCAGGAGGCGCCCCCTGAGAGGAGCCTGGAAGGAAAGGAGGCCACAGCATCTGGGGCCCTCAAGGAAATGGGGACAAGTCCCAAGGGGCCTGTCTAGGCCAGAATGGCCCCAAGCTCGGCCACGCAAACATATGGGGCAGCATTTTCTGGAATTCAGTTGTGTGTGCACAGGAGGAATGCTAAAACGCCAGCTTGTGCTTTCCGGTCCCACTGACAGTTTCTGGTCCTAATGTTCCTAAGCCTCTGAGTCAACAGGGCAGGGACGCCACAGGGCCCCAGGTCACTCCCACTCACGCAGGGTGTTCATCAGCTGGTTGTTTCCCGGCGGCCGGCTGGTGCCGTTGGCCACAGGGTTTCTGTGACTGAACTGCTGGTGAGGAGGCTGCGAGGGGGAGGCCCTGGCGGCCGGCTCATCCCCTCCGCTGCTGGAGCTGTCGTCGTCGCTGCCCGAGGAGCTGTCCGAGTCCGACGAGCTGCTCCCGCTGGTGCTGCTCATCTGCTCAATGATTTCAACCTCTGCTCTCAGCTCTGGAACGAAAGGGCAATTTGTGCCAGCAGATAAAGGGGTCAGGCCATGTTCTTTGCTGAAAGGATGTTATTTAAAATGTTTGCAAACTACAGGTTTATGAGTTTATTAATAAAGAGAAAGTAGTCAAAGTGTGGGCCAAAAAAGTTCTAGTCTCAAAAGACACCAATATACAATGTTGCTTTTCATGGGCATGAATGAATCTTTCCACAGCATTTTAAGGTTCTAGCAACAGAAGGAACCGAGAAGTAAATGACATTGATTAAGTGAAGCAGAAAATGCCAGACTAATGAGGCAGCCTGGCACACTGGCTCTGGAGTCCAAGGACCTGGATTCAAATGGTGCCTCTGATGCTTACACCTGGGTGATAGCAGGTGAGTCATTTAAACTCCCTGGGACTCAGTTTCCACCTCTTAAGTGGGTTGGACTAGATGTAGATGACTTCTGAGGTCACTATCAGTTCTAGATCTGTGATCCCATTAACTTCAATGCTAAGAAAATCTCCAGAAAAATGCTTTAATGCTTTATAAACTATGTCTTGCCAAACAGATTTGGCTACAGTGCAACTATAGGATTCTTTATTCTGTATGAATTAAAATCAAATATGTATTTGAAATCTTCTTGCAAACACATTATCTGTCGATGAGATCTATCTGCTAACAGTCACGTATAAAACACACCTTCCTGTGCACACACTGTACAATCTATTCATCTACTTCCAACACTCCTTCACATGACCAAAACTGACTAGGCACTCATGGTCTACAACTCTCATCCAAGTAAACAGAGGGAGTCTTTAACACCTCAGTAAGTCAGAAAAATAGACTGAGCACTTAAAAAAAAAAACGCTCCTAAGGCCTGCAGTGGGAAGGATCCCGAAGGTTAGAGGCTAAAGCTGAGCCCTGGGGCCTGGGTTTTTTACATTCATTATCAGACTTGTGGAGCCCCTTGCTAACAAGGGGGACACTGTCCAGAAGGGGCCATTTATCAACCCCCCTCCTATCCACTGGCCCGTCAGTATCTGCAGTGTTTAAAGCATTTCATGCACTTGCAGCGTGGCTCAATCTCAAAATATCCCTCCAAGTAGAAGCTACTAAACGCCCACACTTTCTAGAGAAAGCATCTGAGGGTCATGAATTGGGGAGAGTTACCCAAAGTTACCATCAATCAGCCACCTCTTTAGAAAGGCAAAAGTAAAATGGGCCCTGTTCTCAAAGAGCTTACATTTTAATGGGTGAGTACATACCAAGTTAGGGCCTGACTGACCTGGGCTTATTTCTGCTCAACTATCCCGCCCTCTCTCACACCCATTCCTCAACAAAGATTAATGGAATTGTGAATGAATTAATCAACCAATCAACATTTATGATGGCCTTTTATTCCCAAGGCCAACCTACCCAAAAGAGGAAACTGCAGGACAATCAGGCTTCCCAACTGGCAGCACAGCTCTAACAGTTTGCCTTATGTTTCACCTCCATGGTACGTGCTGGTTTAAATTCTGAGCTTCCAAGGGGCCTGATTTTCAAAGCCGCTAATTCCAGAAAGAACCTTCCCAGGCATCCTGGGAGGCCCCCAAGAAGAATAAGCACAGCTCATATTTGTCTGCATCTCCTACAAGGCAGAATCCCGAAGTGGAAATCTCAAGCACAGACTCATAGATGCTTACATAAGCCCTCAGCAGTTACTACTGTTCTCGTCTATCTTTCTTGAGGACAGAGATTCCACAAACTATTACTTACCTCTCTTAATGTCATCTAGTTGGGGTTCAGGTGAAGGGTTGTCTTTCACAGGAGAGGTTTTTGGTCCAATTGGGGGTTTCATTGGGGCTCTAAATGGTACAGGAGGTGGTGGTGCCCGAGCTGGGGGCTGTTCCATTCTTGCCTGGATTTTGCTGCTTCCCTCAGCTCTGAAACAAGGGCAAAAATATTTAATGGGACTACATTATACATTTTGTTTTGTTTTGTTTTAGGCAATTGGGGTTAAGTGACTTGCCCAGGGTCACACAGCTAGAAAGTGTCAAGTGTTTGGTCTGAGGCCAAATTTGAACTCAGGTTCTCCTGACTTCAGGGCTGGTGCTCTATCCACTGCACCACCTAGCTGCCCCTAGATTATGCATTTTAGACTAGGAATGTGGTCTTATACTACAGGGAACTAAAGCTCTCTGCTTCTTTTGCACATAAAGACAAAATTATGCATTTTAAATAGTGTTCATAAAATTTCCAGTTTCACATGAAATGGTGCTCACTACTCAAAGTCAGTGAAGTTTTATTCTCATGATATAGTAATCTAGAATACTTCACGCTTGGAGTTTGTGCTTTCACCCCAGTGAAACAGCCTCTACAATCAATATGCTTTTGCCAAAATCTTTTGTCTCTGATTTTCCGGTTTCAACAACCACATTATCAATGAAGCATTAATCATCTTCAGAATACACAATCTTTCTGAAAATGAAGATGGTTTGATTTCTCATACAGGTCAAGAAAATGACAATTCAGAAAATTATTCCCTGTGTAGTCCAGATGTTGTTTAGAGAAAGTTATGCCTCAAGCAGTAACTGACACTCAAAAAATATACGAATAAATGAACCTGCCTGCTTATCCTTCCCAGCAGAGCACAGGGCTGGGAACAAGAAAACCTGGGTTTGAGGCCCCTTTCTGCCTTTACTTGCCATATGACCCTGGGCCAGTCTCAACTCAGGCCCTCTGATCTCAGTCTTTTCACTGGCAACTCTCACAGAGACAGCACAGCCATGCTTTAAGTGCTGGAGTTGAAGACCTGGCAATTCCTAGCTGTGTGCCCCCAGGCAGGTCATTAACCTCTTGGGGCTCCAAGGAACTCGCTAGGAATCATCTACTAAACCATCAAGTCTGCTGGGAGCTCCCCCAACTGATGATGTCAGGGATCCAGAGCTTACTCTCCCACCTCACAGGAGATCCTCAATGGGTTCTGTCAATGGCCACACTGCAGATGTGTGCTAGCATGGATTCTCACCTTGTCTTCTTGACCTGAATGCTGCTACTGAGTTTTTCCAACACATATTCACCAGTGTCATGATTAATGATGAGAACACAGTCTTTCTGATAGGGTCTTTTGTTTCCTTTGAACACAGTCATTGGAGGTGTTGATCCCTGTTGAAAGCAAAAGCACAAGACAGGAATCTTAAATCACACACGAACATGCTGCTACCTAGAAAAAAGGTGACTGTTTTAAAATGGTCAAGTAGTGTGAAAAACTAAAACCCATTTTAAAAAACCTACCCACTAATTTGAATAAGTAGTTCTCCTACCAATAAAGTTGTGAATGTGGAATAAATGAACTGATTTCTGATTTACTTTTTGGATCCCCCTAGGGATCAACACAAGCAGAAATATGGTGTGTATTATCCCTAACTGGCCTAAATAACCCTAAACCAGAGACAGTAATAATTTAAGTATTTTATTTCTTCTGGGAAATTATTAATCTGGGCAATTTATATTTTTGTAAGTATTCATCCATTTCAACTTAGATTGTCAGGTTTATTGGCACATAGTTGGTCAAAATACCTCCTAATTATAGTTTTAATTTCCTCTTCATTGGTAGTGAATTCACCCTTTTCATTTTTGATACTGGTAATTTGGTTTTCCTCTTTTTCTTAATCAAATTAACCAAAGGCTTATCTATTTTATTGGTTTTTGTTATAAAACCAGGTAATAGTTTTCTTAATTTCAATTTTATTAACCTCTCCATTGATTTTCAGAATTTCTAATTTGGTATTTAGTTGGAGGTTTTTAATTTGTTCTTTTTCTAGCCTTTTTACTTGCCCACCCAATTCACTGATCTCCCCCTTTCTCTATTTCATTCATGTAAACATTTAGAGATATAAAACTTCCCCTAAGAACTGCTTTGGCTTCATCCCATAAGTTTTGGTATGTTGTCTATCACAGGCAGTCATAACTGACATTGGTAACATGCTCTGAAGTTGCCAAAGCACTTTATCTCAATTATCTGAGTCAAATCTTTCCCACTCTGGTCCACTTCTCCCTGGCAGCTACAGAGCTTCCTCCCCAACAGTTCCCTACACCAATAGCATCACCGTTCTGGACAAAAAAAGTGCAGAGCCCCAGACTGCGCCTGGAGATTCAGAGACAAAAATAAGTCTCCTTCCTCTCAAGGAACCTTAACGTGCCCATTTTTCAGTAATCTTGGACTAAAACCTCTCTAGACCAATTCTGTGTTGGGCAGTAGGTAAGAAACGTCTTGACTCAGACTTTGACAGCTGGATCTGATCTGCACCGTGTTTGTTCTCATTAACCAATGCCCTCTTCTATTCCTAAGACCTCCTGCTTCAATCCCAGTTATCCAGACTCTCCGGCCTCAGGCCTGAACCATTCCCAGGCCTCCCAGCCTGAGATCTTTCCCTGATCTCCTTTAATTCTGGACCCATGCATGGCAGAGGTTCTAGGTGATTACGCTGGACTCTAACTTTAATCAAGATCTCTGAGAAAGGTACAGAAAAACTACTTTTCCTTTAAGTTGCTGACCCTCAGTATATCGTCATCTTCAAAAAAAATTTAATGATGGAAAAACTGTAAATATAACACAAATAAGGTACATCAGAGCAATCCCAAAGTTTTTAGAAATGACTATGAAAATGACTCAACTTACAGGAATGTGTGGTAGTGTAATTGTGACTTCATCTCCTTTGCCAACCTGGAGTTCTCCTTCACATGAAGTGTCTATGGATGCTGGTTTAAAATCATCTAAAGAAGAAAAAATTATTAGAGCAATGGCTACGTTATTACCCAAAGTTTCCTCGATATTTTTAATTAAGAACTCAAATCATACTTTTCTTATTCAGATAACTATCAAATGCCAACAAAAGCTAATTCATTAAAAAAAGATTTTCTTCTTAAATAACTACAAAAATATTAAATTGTGCCCAATACAGAATTTTAGAGTAGTTTTAAATGTGGTCTCAATTAGTCCTGTACAGGAACTATTAAAAAAGGCATGCCACCTTGATAATAACGAGGAAAGGAGTTACCACAATAATGTTTTTGGATCTGACACACTTTTCTGTGATGCGTTTGAGGAAAAACCAAAGCAGGGTAACATAATGGTAAAAGCATTGGTCTGAGACAAGAGAAAAGGGTGATGAGTCTGACTATGATGAACTCAACGACCCGGGAAAGTCACTTAAACTCAGGCCTCACTTTCCCCCTCTGTGAACTGAGCTGAAATGGTGTGCAGCGGATGGACCACGGGTCCTCGAGTCGGGAGGACCCGAGTTCAAATCCAGCCTCGGACGCTTACTAGCTGCGTGACCCGGCCGAGCTGCGGAGCCCCGATCCCCTCCCCGCCCCCCAGCCCTCCAGGCCGATCTCAACGCTGGACCGCATGCGGGGGCCCAACACGGAAGGCGCCGGCCAGGGCCGGGGCCGCGTAGTGAGTCACCGCTATCTGCTCTCCCGGCAGACTGGCCTCGGGGCGTCCGCGGGGCGGCAGGCGCGGTGACTCAGGCCGCGGCCTCGGCCCAGCCTCCCCGGGACGCCGAGGGAGGCGTGGGCGGCCGTCCGGGGCACTCATGGCCTAAGCGTCCCTTCGCCCACGGCCACGCGCGGCTCCGCGGGGGGTCCGCGGGAAGGAGGAGGGGTCTCCCCCGCCCGGCCACCGCCCACGGCCTCGCCCTCCCCCGGGCTGAGGGGATACGGAAGGGCGTGAAGGCTCTGCGGAGTCTAGCAGGAATCGGGGAGGGGGCGGAGCACGGAATCCGCCGGGGGGGGCGCTTCTCTGGGAGGTTCCCCTAGGGCCCGACGGGGAGGGGGGGTCCATCCCGGGGCCCGGGCGCACTCACAGCGGATGGTGTGGAAGGAGGACTTGGGCCTCTTCTCGAAGCTCTCGCCGAGCTTCAGGCCGTGCTCCTCGCGGTCCAGCAGCGGGTTCGCGGTGCCGTTCATGGCCCTTTCCCCGCCGGGGGAAGCGGCCTCCAGTCACCGCTCGGGCCGACTCCTGCGCCGGCTTCCTCGGCGCCGCCCCCGCCCTGAGGGCCGGCCGGCACTTCCGGAAGAGGCCGGGGTGCAACCGGGACACCGCTCCGCTCCGAGGCTGGGGGGGGCGGGTGCGACCCCCAACACAGGCCGGAATCTCCTCCTGCCCTTCCGCCGCGCCGGGGGCGGGGTTTGCGGGGAATGGGGAGTGAGCTTCCGGCGTCGCCGCTCCTACCGGAAGTGGGCGGGGAAGTGCTACAGGGAAAGCGTTCCGATCGAGGCCCGGGGCTGAGCGCACTTCCGGTCCTCCCTGTGGGCTAACGCGGAGCGCGCCCTAAAAAGGACGGGGCGCGCTTTTCTGGGGGCGGGGAACGTCCCTTTTCCGCCCGCGCCCCCGGCCCAGCCCCAGGCCCAGCTCCAGGCTGACTCGGCCGGTCCAGGTTTAAAGCTCCCTTCTCGCCGGTAGCCAGTGAGGTAGGTAATGGCGCTTAGAGAGGGTTGTGCCCATTCGTTACAGAGGAGGAAACTGAGACCTCGAGACCCTGAGTCCTCGTCCTGGCCCCTCCACTTACTAGCTCAATGGCGACACACAAGCTCTCTACCCGCCCCTCGCCCCAGACCTCAGTTTCCCGGTTTGTAAAAATTGTTCCAAGATCAGGGTGGAAAGAGCCCGTGACCCTGGAGTCTAAGGAACCGGGTTTTAATCCTACCTCTGACCCTTACTAGCAGTGTACCCCTGGGCAAGCCCCACCCAACTTCCTTGGACCTCAGTTTCCTCGTCTTTAAAAGGAGGGGGCTGGACCCGAGGTCCCTTCCAGCTCTGCCCCTCCAAGCATGACCAAGGTGGGGGAGGGGCGTCTAGTCCCCAGTCATGGACTTAGTGCCCAGCCCTGGAACTACAGACAGGCCTGCCCTCAGGGGGCTTACAGTCCAAAGGAAAAGACCACCCACCGAAAGGGGCTGAAGTTGGGCAGAAGGCGCCCTGAGGTGGGAACCTCTTAAAATGGGGGTTTTGGGAAGAACTGACCCCCTGAGGACGGCAGGCCAGGGTGAGCAACCCCTGAATCCTTCGGATTAGAAACTTGGGCCCCCCCCCCCACCTCCACCCCAGAGTAAAGGACGAAGAGGCAGAGCAGCCTTGAAGCCGCCTGGCCTGATCCTGGCCCCCTGCGCTTCTTCCCTCCAGCCGGGATGGGCCATGGGCTCCTGGGCTCCACCAGCATTTTCCTACAGTCCTGCGTACTTGGTCTTGAAACCGTGGGGTGCGGGCCTGGGGTATGAAGGGCAGAGCAGGATTTATCGAAGTGGCCCGGGCCCCCCCCCCAACATTTGCAATTATTTCCTTCTTGTTCCCACTCAGTGGATGTAAAGAAAATTACATAGACAAGTGCCTGGCACCTAGTAGGCACTTCATAAATGTTGGTTTTGTTTTCAGGAATTCTCTGTGTGCTAAACCATCCTTTAGGAAAGGGAAGACAATATAACAGTAATAATAATTGCTTATATTTATATAGCGCCTACTGTGTCCCAGCCACTGTGCTAAGTGCTTAAAAGTCATCCATTTGAATAAACATTTATAGTGTGCCTATTGCATGCAGGCACTGTGTACTTGTAAAATGTGTACCTGTAAAACTGCAGCCAGACAATAAACAGTCACTATGTAGCTTCTAATCTAACATAAATTAAAACAACAGAATTAGAATGTAAAATGATCACTGCTTTCATTCAGCAGTAAGACCTGGATTTTTGCTAAGTGGGAATTGTCTACTTGGATTGTTGATTGTGCAAATACAGCTTTACACATACTATCCCCTTTTACCTTAGCCACCTTAAAATGTTTGACTTACCTTTGTATTCTCATTTTCATTCCTTTTTTAGCTCCCGATCTTGCTTGAATTATGGGAATTGATTGCCTGAAAATGAATATGGGGAAACACGGCTAAAAATATTATCCTCAGAAGAGCTGCAGGAAGATGGATTCATCCAGGAATTAGAGGGATGAAGACTCTTTAATGAGGTTACACGTGATAATGTCCTCCGGTGGAGAGGATCCAGATCGGGAGAAAGAACAAGAGACCAGGCCTCAAAGCAGAGATGGTCCGGTCGTGTCTGCCTTTAAACAGGCAAAACTGGAAAAGGAGGCCCAGAAGAACTGGGACCTGTTTTATAAGAGAAATAGTACCAATTTCTTCAGAGATAGACACTGGACCACCAGAGAGTTTGAGGAACTGAGATCATGTAAGGAGGTAAGCCAACTGATACTGCCCCTCATAGGAAAGATAAGGCCTGAACAGGTAGAGAGGACAATACCGGTCAATACCCGGTGCCCATTGAAGACTATGACATACTTAGGGTCAGCACCTTAAAGGAAGAGTCGTTTTTCTGTCCCTTTCCCAGAGATGCTTGATTAAAGTTAGAGACTGTCATATAGCTGCCGAGTGATTAGCACCTGTGTAAAAAAACCATGGCTTCTCTGAGACCTGGGCTGCAGCCACAGACAGCAGAGAGGTCCAAGGGGCCTTGTGCAGTGAATCACTTAGGTGGAGGGTTGATTCCAACGTGATCACCTAGAATCTGTGCCATGTGCGTGTCCAGAATTAAAGATCAGGGATCTCAGGCTGAGGCCGGAGAGTCTGGACAACTGGGATTTTTAATAGGCAAGAACTAGCAATTTCTTTTGCTGATGGTGCAAACATAACATACATTCTTTTTCTTTCTCCCCAGTTTGAAGATCAGAAGTTGACTATCCTTGAAGCTGGCTGTGGGGTTGGAAACTGTTTATTCCCTCTTCTAGAAGAAGATCTAAATATCTTTGCTTACGCCTGTGACTTCTCACCCCGGGCCGTCGAGTACGTTAAGGTTGGTGTAATAGGCATGTGATGATACTTCTTTAAGAAAGAGGATTCTCAGTGGATGAAAACTGCCTGTTTACATACAAGTTTGATGTGGCACAATTGGGCTAAATTAATCCTTTGCTTTTTTAATTGACGTTACCAATTAGTGCTAATTGTGAAAGAGAAAATAAGTTGGTTATGTGGATATACTCAGTCTGCAAAACTAATTTCTCTGACTGGCAGCTTTTAGGTAGTGGCCCCTTTTGGTGACTGGCAAGATGAAGGCCAGAAGGCCCCTCGCCCACTTTGTCACTCTCATGACCCATGCCGACTAACTCTTGAATCAGAAGCGTAGAGTGGCAGATAGAAGAGACTTTGGAAGTCATTTTTGCCTTACTCCTTCCCAGAGCACAAAGCCCTCTGAAGACATCTCAGCAGGTGAATTGTGAAGACTCTCAGTGATCCGCACTCGTTTTAGGTCAGCACTGATCATGAAACCTCTTTCCTTGTGTTGCACTGAAATCTGCCTTCCTGTGATTTCCATCTGTCCCTGAGGGCCAAGCAGGACGAGCCTTCCTGACAAAGCTGCAGGTAGCTCTTCACTTTGCTCAGCTAAACATTCCACTTCAGCTGCTCTTTTGGCCTGGGCGGTACCAGGTCCCACAGCATCGAGGTCATCATCCTAGGATGAGCTGGCATCATCCAGTGGACCTTTTAAAAAGGACTCCAAAAGCCAGGCTTAATCTATCTGTCTACTGCGGTCTGACCAGGGCAGGGCCCAGTGGGACTTTGTCTCCTCTCCCGCTAGACACTAGGCTTCTGACACCTAGAAGAGGCTTGAAGAGTCCCTGGCTTTGCCACTGGTAGAATTTCCTTAAGTTTGGCCCCTCTCTCACAGAGGAAAAGGTGCAGAGTAGAGCCAGGGTGAGTCTCTATAGCAAACCATCCACCTCTCTGCATTCTTGCAGGAACATCGGAGGAGTCTGAGGTCATGTCCCAGCCAAGTTCAGTCTGGGGGCTGCACATCACACTGCTGACTCAAACTGAGCTTGTGGTCCACTAGGACGAGGAGGTCTCTTTTACCTGAACTACCTGGGTTGGACTAGACTCTCACTGATGTTCCGTCCGCCTCTGAAAGTGCCTTCTAGCCCCTTCTCCCCTTTTTGTTGTTCAGTTGTTTTTTCAGTCACCTACAAATTAAGTCCTGAAATGAGGAGAGGCTGCCCTGCGTACCCTCTTTAAATGGAGGATCTGAAACACTGTTTCCCCTCTAGTTCAGATCCTTACCACCTTTCACCTGGATCGTTGCTAAGCCTTCCTGTTCTAATCAGTGTTCTTTCCTCACTCTGGTCCATACCCCTCTGCAGCTCAGAGCTCCCTCCAGAGACTTCCACATCACTGTTCTGGACAAAAAAGTGCAGGGCCTCAGGCTGGGCCTGGAGATTCAGAGACAAAAATAAGTCTCTTCCCTCTCAAGGAACCTCGGTGTGCCCATTTTTCAGTAATCTTGGGCTCAAACCCATCTGGACCAATTATGCTTTGGGCAGCAACTGGAAAAATACTTAGAATGGTTTGCCATTTCCTTTTCCAATTGATTTTACAGATGAGGAAACTGAGGCAAACAAGGTTAAGTGACTTGCCCCAGGGTCACACAGCTAGGAAGTGTCCAAGGCCAGGTTTGAACTCACAAAGTTCAGTCTTTCTGACTCTAGATCCTACACTTTAGCTGCCTGGCTGCCCCAAGCTTCTCCCCTTAGCTGTTTTTCTTGACTCAGATCTTAAGATTTTTCTTTTTTCCCTGTTAGTTTCATCTTGTTAGTCTCATCTTACAATCCCAGCAGAGGACTTTCTGATCTACCTTGGTCAGCGTTGAACGAATGTGTAGATTCGAGAATCTACAAAGTAGGTTTGTGGAAATCTGAGTTCAGATATTTTGAGTTTGGAATTCTTCCCAGTCCTGGAGTTACTGTCAGCCTGCAAGCCCTACAGTCCTGGGCTACCTTATTGACATTGGAAAGAATGCCGGAGTTCCCTGGAAAAACCTCTTACCCTCAGAAGAAAAGATGCTGTGCAGCAGTCACTGATCCCAGATGCTTCCCAGAGAAGGAAAGGATGGCACTGTCTGGGGGAGGACAGCTGATACCTTCCCAGGCCTGGAGGTCTGGAACTTCCGCTGGCTGTTCCATTAAGAAAAAAAAAAGCTGTCTGTCTGCCAGAAGAATGTTTCAGACTATAGGAAATGGGAGGCAAAATGTGGAAATGACAAGTCTTCACTACCCAGCAAGTGACTGATGTGTGAAGTATATTTATGTTCACCAAATTTGCAAGGATTACGTCTATTTATCCTGCCTAAAGAAATTTCATAAAAAATGTTTTAGCTTTAAGATAAAAACTATGTACATATTTTTAATATATTTGTGTGTGTGTGTGGTGTATGTGTTTATGTATGTGTGTTTCAGCCTCAGAGTTGAAATACTTTGAGTGGACTTTAGAGAAAATGCTTGTCATAAACATGAACCAAAAGTTTATCTTCACAAAGTTGTAAGTTGTCCTGACAAAAAATTTTATTTTATGACATGTTAGAACATACACATATGGGTGTATCTATACAAATATATACCTTCATATGTGCATATGTATGTAACATACTAGACCTGTGGTACAGGCCTGGGCCTGTACCCTAAAGCCTGAGGGACTTGCCCCATGTCACCGGGGGGCCAGGAGAAGCCAGAGGCAGGTGGCCATGAGGGTGAAAGGAAGGAAAGGCAGGGACACCACGACCACCTGCTGAGGCTGGGCCTTCTCTCTTAACTTATTTGCCATTTGGGGCTTTGGTGAGGAGAAATAGTGGCCAGTGGGAGGAGGGGAGGAAGTCGTGGATTTGGGCCCAGTTTGTACCTTCCTGGCAGCCACCAGTAGAACTTGAGTGGGTGGGGAAGAGTTGAAGCCTGAAACTGTAGGAACAGGACTTTGTCCCTTCTTCCCCTCCCCCCACTTTGGAATCCTGAGAATGAGGCTTCCTAGGCACTAAAGACACACATCTGGAGGGAGGAGGCTGGGCCCCACTCTTCCTTGATTGTTATCCTTGTCTGGTTTTCCAAATGGAAAGTCAGCCCTTAAATAACCAAGAGGTAATCGGTTTTTTACTATCTCTTTGGCCCTGTATCAGTCACCAAGTATTTCCTAAGTGCTTTCAGTTTGCTAGGCACTCTAGGTTTACTGAGAAAAAGTCAAGCTTATCTTCTACTATTATAGGCTTATAAAATGCGTGTATTTGAAGATCAAATGGCTTCTAAGTAAAATGCAATATGTAGGAATTAAATCCTGTTATTTGCTGGGGACTTCTGCCTTGGATAAAGTGCCTGGGACAGGAATGAGAGTGAACTTTCTTGCTAGCAGAATTTGAGAATTAGCTGCTTTGTGAGAGATTGCCACCTTGGTTGAATCAACTACAGGCATCGTCAGCTCGTCCTGTGTAAACATTGCTCTGACATTTATTTCCCATAGCATCAGTTACATATGTTGTAACCAAATGATTATGACATCACAAAGCTGTGTTGCAGTGTTATGAAATGACCAGTGAAACAGCCGATAGCGTTTGACTGATGACCTGATTTACCCATCATTACCCAAGGCACTGCCTCTGTCCAAAGGTTTCACCTGATGCCATGTTTTCACAAAGTTAATTCAGCTCATGCCTTTACCGGTAGAGTTAAGGCAAGGATATTCTCATTTTTTACTTTGTTCCCCCAGCATCTAATACAATACCTGACATATAATAGACACAATAAATGGTGAATTTGAATCATTTCAGTGTTGGCGTGATTTAATCATGAAACAACTTTTCACATTTTCTTCCTTTCCCTGCTGAATAGCAAAACCCTCTGTATGACGCTGAGCGGTGTAAGGCGTTCCATTGTGATCTCACCCAAGATGATCTTCTGGAACACATCCCAGCAGCCTCTGTCGATGTCGTCACCTTGATATTTGTGCTTTCTGCTGTTCACCCCGACAAGATGCACCTGGTCTTGCAAAATGTTTACAGGGTAAATGAGAGCCTGATTGGGGGGGGGGGAATGCTCAGCCTTGGAATCACACTCCCTAGAAAGCCCTTGGGGGCCGCCTTCTCCTTTCGTCCATTGTACGATGTGTGTGTTAGGGATCAGAAACTGTGTCTTTGACTTTGCTCAGGAGATGATGTGGGTCAAATAAATTTTTGTAAATTAAATTGTAAATGGATTCAGATACTTCATGGTGCTGAAAGATAAACTTTGAAGAAGAGTTAAAATGTTTCCTATGTGGACATAGGTAACAAATTTCAGGAATTTTAAAGGAAGGTTGCATGGCTTGCGAATGAGTGTCCTGTGTCTTCTGGTCCCTGGAAGATGAAGCTGGTCAGCTTCAGACCAACCACAGATGAACTGGACTCTGTGGTGACTGTTGGGGGAACAAGGCCTTTGAAAGAAAGAGGGAATCTTTCTTTTTTAGAAATAGCTGTACACTTACTAGCTGTGTAACTCTGGGGAAGTCACTTAACCCCAATTGCCCCACCCAAAAAAAACAAAACAAAAGAAAAAAAGAAAGAAATAGCTATTCAGAGGAACACTTGGTTACAGACAAAGCCTCGAACGTTGCGGTTTGGCATGTCTTAGATGTCTGCAGTAATGGGTACAGCCACTAAAAGGCGTGTTCAGAGCTCGTCCTCTTAAGCAGCTGAGGCAGTGGTCTCCTTTTTTTCATTCATTTGATTGCCGTCCTGCACACACATCACATCGGTAATCCAGGTTAGCTCAGCCTAGAACTTTCACAAGCTTGAATTAGTGGTGTCTGAATTAAGGAGATTTCAGCTGACATTCAATTTTCATTGAGCTTTTACTTAATACATGGGGATAATGTGCAATATATGCTTTTGTTCACTAGGTATTAAAGCCAGGTAAATGTGTCTTGTTTCGAGACTATGGGCTGAATGATCATGCGATGCTGCGGTTTAAGACTGGCAGCAAGCTAGGAGAAAACTTTTACGTTAGACAAGATGGGACCAGGGCCTATTTCTTCACTGACGGTAAGAGAAAAGTGCTTTTTGTCAATTTCCAGTTGTTCATGGGACTGTAATTAATTGTGATGTTGTGGATGACACAGTTTATGTGTGAGAGGTTTGTACAATTCGTTTTCGTCTTTCTGTTCTGGTATTTAGATAGAGCATGACAAGGTCAGTACAGACTGATGGTTTGCCAATCCGATTTTCACATTTCAAAACGCATTGTGAGACAGAACATTTACCTGCCTAACTAAGCTCTGGACTTTCAAGGCAAGAGAGGGCAGTGAGGAATAAGTGTTTGGAATGAACATGGAATGGACCTCAACAAATTTCATGGTTCACTGATTGATGGCCTGAAATGTACCCCACGCCCCTCAGCACGTTCTGTTTTGCATGGCCGTAGAAAGCAAAGTCAGACGTTATGCAGGGAAAATCCTCGGCTCTTGACTGCTTTGTGTGTAGGCAGGGAGCACTGGAATGCAAAAGCCCTCAAACAAGAAGTGTTTATTTAAGCCCTTCTGTTGGGTCCAGCACCATGTAGGTCAGGTGGGGAGAGGCAGACATTCATAACGAGGTCCCTCCCTTAATATTGGTGGAGAGGCAAAACCCAGACATATCGATAGAGAGCTCTAACTATCTCTGCATGTATATCTATATCTATATCTATATGTCTTTGTGTAGATGTGTGTAAAGTGTTGAGAGAACAATATAAGACAAGAAGGTAAAGTAGTAGGTTGCATGGAAGAGGCTAAGAATGCTACTGGAGCACAGAAGAAAGGGAGCTTAAAGAAGCTCAGAGACAATATTTAAGTTGGAGAGGAAGGGCTTGGAATCGGAGCCAGCCTTCGGTGTCTTGAAATCATTCAGGTGTAATAAGAGCCAGACGAGGACCTGGATGAGGGCATGCCTGCTGTTGTCTTTGTAATGCTAGTGCCTAGCACACAGTGGGTGCCTAATAAATGCTTCAAGAATGGCCAGGAGAGGTATCTAAGGAGAAGTTAGCAGCACTGAATGATGGATTGGATAGAATGAGCTGTAAAGGAAAGGGATGAGCGTTAAAACCCAGAGGGGTCAGGGGAGGGTTTTTGGAAGGTGGAGAAAACATGGGCATGTTTGTGGGCAGTAGGGAAGCAGCCTAGGAGCCAGCAATGATTAGTGAGAGAACGGGGGTGATAGATGGAGCAGTATGCTGGAGGAGAAGGGATAGAATGGGGTCGCTCATGAATTTCAAGGGGTTTGCCTGGGCAACGGGAAGAGCCACCTTCCAGTGAGGCGGGATAAAGGAAGAAGAAGTTTTGGGAGGCATCTTAGTGATGCAGCATGAGGAGGAGGAGGAGAGAGGGGAAGGAGCTCTCGGCAAGTGGCCTTCATTGTTCTAATGAAGCATGAGGCAAGGTCTTGGGGGCAGGGAGAGCCCTGTGGAGGTGAGGAGGAGTGAGAAGGCTTGGAAGAGCCACTGTGGGGAGTGGGAGAGTGAGTACAAGGATTGCCTTGAAGCAGAGAGTCCAGGTGAGTTACTATCACATAACATATAGTGGGCCCAGAGGGAACTATTGTGTGACTTTCGTGAAAAGGAGGGAGGGTGGTAGATGGTGGCTGTGAGCCAAGGCTGAGGCATGGCAGGGCAAGATGGGCCATAGGACCAGAGGGCAGGGGGCTGGAGAGCAGAGGGCAGTGGGACACTAAGGAGCCAAAGGCCTTCGGGGTGCTGACAGTTGTGCTGAGGATGGTGACGATGACAGTGGGTAGGGAGAGCCCAGGTGAGGGGCACCTGGCTTCTTGCAACCGATAGGAGTCTGAAAACCTCAAGATTCACCTTATGAGAGACTAGAGATCACGGCTGCTCTTGTCTAGACCACACTTATGTCTGCTTCATATGTGCCTCTTTAGAGACAGGTCTAAATTAATAGTTGTCAAGTTAATGAAGGATGAGGGGAAAAGAGAAGTCAAAGTGCCGAGCCTTGGGACCTGGAGCAATGAGGGGTGCTGGCTCCAGGGGAAAGAGAGTGAACTTGGTATTTGGAGCTGATGCTGAGCCTTCTAACAGCAATGTCTGTGAGACCGCAGAGGTGAAGAAGTAGGAAGTTGGAAGGCGTCTGCGTGGGTGCCATGACTGTGGATGGAGAAAGAAGAGGGGAGAATGCCGAATAGTAAGTGAGGGAAGAAGAGAATCTGTGTAGCCACAGGCGGTATCAGAGAGGGGGTGTTCAGTAGGGACAGATGCAGCCGAGATGAGGGAGGGTGAGAGGGGAGAAAAAGCGCTGGAATGTAAGGGTCAGCGGGTCAGCGGTGACCTTTAAAAGGGTGGCTTCTGTGGAATGGCTGGGAGGGGAGCCAGATGTGGAGGTGCTTGGGAGGCCACTGTCCAGAAGAGATGCAAACAGAGGCGGCTTCTAGCAGTGCTCAGGTTTGCCCTGTTTGATTGGCAGGAGTTGGAGGGGGCAGCAGGCTTGGGGGAAGTCTGCATGCCTTTGTAGGTGTGGGGAAAGATGCATGGAAAACAGAAATCTGAGGTTGCAGTGAATGAGGAAAGTTTGTTAAAGCTGTTTGCTGTCTTCCACATTATTGCTTCTTTTCTGAAAAGCATGAGATGGAGCCCACAGGTAAACAGTTTAAAGCCAGGACCTTCCAAAGGGCCTGTTTCCTCACCCCCCAAGTTCGCTGTGTTAGGATCGGTTGTATGGTGCAGACCGTGCTTTGGACTTGGTCTTCATCTTCATGGCAGGGGAAGGGAAAGATGTTATGATACACACAGTCGCCAGGATTTTTAGATGGGCTCCCCTGCCTCCCACCTCCCCTGAGTAGTAGAATAAATAAGGTGCTCAGAGTAAAGCAGTCAGGGGTACGGAGCCTTTTTGTGAGCACAGCCAGCTTTGAAATCCATGTCTTTTCTTTTTGGTTGAATGGGGACATTGTACGTTGTTCAGCACAGTGCCTACCTGGCATGTAGTAGGTGCTTAATAAATGCTTATTCGTTGGTTCTTTTGAAGGAATCATTAGTGGACTGTGCTGGGCAAGGAATAGGCATTCTTTAGATGATCATTGGATTGAATTAAATAGGATACCTACCCTGAAGGTGTGGAAGGCGGCTTACATGGGGCAGGTTGGAGCTATCCCACTTTATACTAGAAATGTGTGGTCTGGAAGAGAAAGAGTTTGGGATGAGTGACTGGTCATGGAAACCACTCCAAACTTGGAGTCAGGAAACTTTTCTATCGTTTCTGGCTCTGCTTCTTAAAACCCACGTGGTCTTGGAAGAGTCATTTTACTGTGCTCCATTGAAGGAGTTGGACTATGATCTCTGAGGTCCCTTCCAGCTCAGGAGCCTATGAAAGCCATTTCTTGCAAATTAAAACTTTCCACATGTGTGTGTATGTGTGTAAAAATAATGAATTTATAGGAAATGGGATCTTCTTGTCTTTCTTTTCCATTAAAGTAAAACCTACCCAAAAATGTCAAAGTGAAATTATTCAAGTGTTTAAACAAAAACATGGTCTTAGCTTCCCTCACTGCCTTGTCCTAATGAGGTGATAGAAAAGCTCTCCAGACAGAGATTATCAGTGCCATTTACTTTCTCTCTTCTAGTATTCCTGGCTCAGCTCTTCCGGGCAACAGGATATGAAGAAGTGGTCAGTGAGTATGTCCTTCGAGAAACCGTGAATAAGAAAGAAGGCTTGTGTGTACCAAGAGTTTTTCTTCAGAGCAAATTTCGGAAGCCTCTAAGGACACCATGATTCTCAATACCATGATCATAAGTCTCAACTCTTCACAGAATAAAATAATTTGGGGCAGAGGTACTCTGTTAAAAATGAGTACTTTTGTCACAATTTAGGAATTCACTTATTCAGAGGATCCATTATCTCAAATGGAGAACGGTGTGCGCACAGACTATCTATACCTTCTCATTCTTCATCGTTCTTGTCTCTGTCTTCCCCAAACCCTTTACAGAGGGTCCCTACCACATGCCAAAGGGCTTCCTCTGAGTCAGGCTTCTGACCCTGTGTCTGTGAACTTTTATCAATAACGTTTCAATAACTGTATTTCAATACAATTGGTCTCCTTTGTAATCCTTTGTATCTTATTTTGTGCATTTAAAAACATGATTCTGAGAATAGGTGCTTAGGTTTCAACAGACTCCCGTGGGGGTCCGAGACACGGACAGAGGTTTAGGACCCCCTACTGCAGGTCTTTTGAACATTCCATGGGAGCCCATGAGGGTTTGTTGACCCTCACACTCTATCATATCATGTGGTTGGCCCACCTTCTTGTTCAGGCACGTTCTGGGGGATGCCTTCCATGCTTAATGGGTGGCAACCTGAGACAGAAAAGTTACATTACAACGTTATGGCCTTGTGCCCACTTGGGTCGCCCTCCACGTCTTTTCTCATAAGTTGATACCGCTCAAGGGTGGGGGTGGGGGAGAATCATTAAGTGATCAGGGTGTTTAACCCTTGAGAACGTAGTAGTACCACGAGGTCTGTGTGCCAACAGGAGACACCAGGGCTGGCCTGGAAGCCATGGAATACAAAGAAATGGGGCTTTGTCCCACTTCCCAAGTCCACAAAGAAAGGAAGTCACATACCCCAATTTTGTTTCAGAAAATATGGTCAGAAGGCATACACACGGTGAGGGAAATAGCAGCAGGCTTGGCCCACAACCTCCGAGAGCTCTTAGACATTTTGGTATTTTGTGTGGTGCTGCTGCTAAGTAGCTTATCCTCACCTTTGGTAACTTGACTTGCAAGGATGGACTGTTAGAAGAGACGGGTGTCAGGGAAGGGGATCCCATCACATCTTAATTTGACCCCAAACGTGGACCTCCCCAGCAGAGGAGGGGATTGTCGCTGGAGAAAGGACTTGGCGGAAGGCTGTGCGTGAAGGAGCGGGCCTCAGCATCTCCATATGAATAACAATTGTTGTATTCTTCAGAGTCAGCTTCAGGCTCCCAAATCCTGTCTGTCACTCTGCACTACGATGCTTATTTCTGGGCATTACTTTAAAACAAGCCAAGAGAAAGGTAGAGGTTCTTTATATTTTTGTTGAAAATAAGGGAGATTTTTAATAAATATATTTCAGAATCTTCTTGTGTGAACTTTTATGGGAATGGGAGGAAGAGGAAGGAACACATCTGGGGGAAACCCCTCAGAGTGCGTGTTTCCGCATGGGGATCGTGGGTGTTTTCTGCTCATAGCTCCCCACATCCTTGAGCTAGGAACAGATGTATCTGCCTCCAGCAAATACAGTGTTGGGCCACAAACAGATGCCTCAAGACAAGTCTGAAAGGGAATAGAATAATAAAGGCAGAAGACGTTCTCTCTTTTCACTCCACTGCCTGATTTTCCTTAAGTCTGCTGTGATGATTTTAGGGCCCAGCCACTTGAACCAGCATTTATTTTGACAATTGCAGTAAGGCATAGACACAAGGTAAGATGACAGATGGACAGTTGATCTCACAGAGGGAATACCCAGGACACTCCTGGGTAATCCAAGGACAAAGCTCCATCACAGATGAGAAAAGATGGTCAGAATAGATTAGAGCAGCGTTGACTTGTCGTCATGGAGAGACGGATACATGAAGAGCTGCAGAGAAATAAGGCATTGGTTAAAAACAGGGAATGTTTCCAGGGTCAGAGCTAGGACAGACTGTGGCCCCCTCCCACTTGCTTTGGAGAACCGCGCTTATATACTTTTCTGAAGCCTCCCCTGTTAGTGGAACTCAATTTACCACAAGATGAATCCATGGCAGAGAACAAGCTTTTCTGGCACAGAATACACACACATTTGAGTCTTTAAATGTACTTTTCCTTTCCCTTCTCCAAACATACTTGTCCTGTGCTGCCACTGTGACCTCCCAGACCCAAACATCAATCCCTTCTGTTTGTTTGATAAGAGTATGAGCCTCCTGGGGGGTAGGGACTGTGGGGCTTTTTGTATTTGTATGCCAGCACTTAGTACAGGGCCTAACGTGGAGTAAAGGCTTTGTCAGTCAGTCAAAGCATCCCTATCCCTTCTCCCTGCCTATTTTGCATAATCATAATTCCAGTTTTACCCAGAGGAAATGCCATCCATCATTGTATCCAAATAGTAGAGCTAGTTCACAGGAAGATTTCTCTCCTGGATTCTACATTTGGAGCAGGAAGGCACAGTACAGGCCCCCTAATCTAACCATCCCATTTGATTGATGTGGAAACTGAGTCTCAGAGAGGACCAGTGACTTGCTTGCCAGGGCCACAAAGCTAGGAACTGTCAAAAACAGGTTTTGAACCCAGTTCTTCCGAATTCCAGGTGTATGCACTAGACTACGCTGGGAGTCCACAGACTCACATGAAGCAAAAAGAGAATTAAGAGGGAGGTGTGAAGTGTGTTCAATGGCACTTTTAGAGAGCACTGCTGGGATAGCTTCTGTCTAGTGCTAGTACCGTCTTACAGGATTATTGTGAGAAAGACAAATCAGAAAATGCTTTATGACCTTAAACTATTACTATTTGTCATGTTAGACTTTTTAAAGAACTTCAGGGGTAGCTAGGTGGCGAAGTGGATAGAGCCCTGGATTCAGGAGGACTTAGTTCAAATCTGGCCTCAGACACATAACACTTACTAGCTGTGTGACCCTGGGCAAGTCACTTAACCCCATTGCCTGGCCCAAAAAAAAAAAATTTCAGTAAGCATTTGTTAAGTATCTACTATGTGCCAGGCACGATGCTATGTGTTAGGGATACAAAAACAAGATAACATGAACCCAGGCCTCAAGGAGTTTATAATCTCCCAGGAGAAAACATACCCATATAAGTAAATACAACCTATGTGGACCATGATTTCCTTGAGAAGGCCAGTAGAACAGGACTTTCAGAAGGCCCAACAGGATAGGCACGAGTGGGATAGCAACACTTGGTGGGGTGGGATATGGCCCGGATGAGTGCAAGGAAGCTGACCATGGTGACCCCAAATAGAAGCTTTGGTGAAAAGAGTCTAGTCTCAGACTTGGGGATTCCGAGTGGGGCCACAAGGCAGGGATTTTCACTGCTGACTGGATTAACAACCCTGCCCGAGGAAAAGATGGGAAGACACGTAAGGCAGAGGTGCAGTCAGGCCAGTTATAGGCCTGGGTACGGCAGGTTTGAGTTACTCATACTCAGCAATGTTGACTCGACTTCAGGATTCGTTCCAGGATGGGCCAGGGAGGGCTTGAAAAGCATTGGAATCAGAAATGGGTCGTGTTGATCTTGTGTTCACCAGGTGGCAGTAGAGACCAGTTACCCTCGGTTTCCTTCTTCCATCCTCACCTTAAGTCACCATTATAACAAACACTATCGTCCATTTCTATGGTAACGATACGGAAAAATATGTGCCTGGCTGTGGCTACTGTCTCCTGTCACTGAGAAGTTACGCTTTTGGCCCGGCAGCTGACCGCTGTCTGGGCATCACCGAAACAGAGGGACTTCTGTTCACAAAACCAAGGCCGCCCAACCCAACCAAGTCATATGTGATTTGTTTTCCATTGAATTTCAGTGACATTTGTTACCTTTTTAAGCAGTCTGGAATATTAACCTATGTTAGCTGCATTCCTTTCCCAGTCTGCTACCAACACTGCTTCACATCCTCCCCCCACCACCTGTTACCCTTTTATGAATACTGCTCAGAAATGGGCAAGAATTCCCTTCCCAGCCTGCAGCTCTTGGGACCTTTTAGTAAATAGCCAATGCACTGTTATGTTGAGTCGAATCTAACTCAAAAAAATAGACATGATTGTCTTCTACCAGTCTGTTAACAAGGGGTATTTACATGTTCGTGGACTTTTAGGGAAATTCTTAACTCAATAGAAACACATAAATCTTTCCAAAATGAGCTCTCTAAATTGAGGACATAATTATTAATGATAATCTTAACTATGTGAGAGGTGATCTCTCAGACGTGAAGCCTCCTCAAGGGCCATTAGTTCTTGTTAATGGCTCTGGTATTGTTGCCTTTGAGTGGTACATGTGTAAAGACCCCTCAGAATACAAGACCCCCTCCCCTACTCTTAGATAGTGTTAGCAGAAATTCCTGAGCCATAAGAGCATCCTATCTCACCTCTAGCTAGTTATATGACCTTGGGTAAAAGGCTGCTGAAACTGTGAGGCCCTGAAAAGTGGAACATGCTAACATAATTTCTATACCTCTTTGTTCTCTCTGTTACTGGGGTAATTTTTACATGAATAGACTGTACACCTGAGGCTCAGCCAATGAGCCAATGGGAAGGGGGTTGGGGTGAGCTGCTGCGTTAGGGTCTATATAATCTTGCCTTAAACAAACAGCACTTACACTCTTGGGGCAGCTTAGGCAGGACGGGGGTGCCCTTTCTCGAGAAAGTCAATAAAGAGATTCCTCCTTTTTGCAAACTTTTGTCAAGACTCTGGTTTTTAATTTGAGTAGGTGGTCTCTGTCCCACACAACTATGTAGACATCCAAGCATTCTTGCAAACAGAATGGAATTAGATTCTAAATACCTCCATGAGTCCATTAGGTGTAGAAAGAGGGGATTGATGCCAAATAAAAGGTAGCTGTGTGACTTCTAGGCAGCAAGAACAGAGGATCCCCAAGAAAAAGGAACAGCTGAACTGCCGAAAGAAGAAAGGCAAGAGAACAGGACAGAGACAGAGGACAAAGAGACAGAGAAACGTGACGGAGAGTTAGAGACAGGAGACAGAGACAGAGAGAGAACAAAGAAAGACAGAAAGACCTTTGCGTATCTTCCCTAAAACTTTTCTTCTGTCTCTGGTCTAGTCAAGCAATGTGTAATCACTCATATTCTCTCATGTGAGGGTCATAGTAGGCTCCTCAACCTTTCCTGAGAGTTGGAGGCCAAATTGAACATTTTGCATTTCAAGTTCTGGGCCAGCTGGGTTCAGAGGTTATTGGGTGTGTGTGTTGGCGGGGATGGTCTGTCCCTTTTTAAGGAACAGGCCAGTTTAGAACTGAGAGCAAACCCTCTGAACAACAGACAGCTGCATCTTCAATCCAACCACTGCTGCTGTTATTTTCTGAGACCAGTGGACTATAGTGAGAACCAAGTGTATGTATATTACGGGATGTAGGGTGGGGATGGGGTGCCCTGGCACTGTTATGGAGGCATGGTTAGGAGAATATTGCCAAAGATAGCTAAATTAGCAGATGCCAACCTCTATGCTGTCCCAGCACGTGGATAATGAAAGTGCCTTCCTGAGGTACAGGTTTCCTTTCTTGGAAGGAAAACACATTTACTCTCCACCTCTAAATTCATTTTTACAGCTTAGGGGGTTCAGGAAAAGATTCCAAAGGGTCTGCATTCTGGTTACATACCTCCCTCACACATTACTCATTTTTATCTCAGGCAGGATTTGCTTGTCTTTCACAGTTCCTGGCCAGGGAAGGGAAGATTAAAGAATAAATCATTTGGAACCATGAAAGAAATTGTGACTTTTTTTCATGAATACTTGAATAACCTTAGTTTGAAAGAAAAAATTTTGGTTAAAAATTATACATTTTGGGGGCTTTCACCTCTTGTCAATATGTTGGGTTTGATGAAATCAAATCAGTAAGTATTACTAAAGAAATATACAGGAAAATATGGAAAATATAATCATAGATTCATAGATGTAGAGTTGGAAGGATCTTTTAACATCATTGACCCCTCCACATTATCTTTGGTGTGAGGCTCAAAGAGCCATAGAATAGACATCTCTAGCTTCTCCTCCTCCACCTTTCTCCAAGGGAGGCTTTCATTCTTACCAAAAGGAGGAGCAAGAAGTTGGGGCAAGAGGCCACTTTGCTGTCCTCAGAGAGAGAGAGTGTTGGGCTAGAAATACAAATCTGTTCCCTTAAATATTATCAGCCTGGGGAGTATGATTGGCTTCAATTTAACTTCTGATCACTGTGTCATTACCAGGGAGAAAGGAGGATCTGAAGTTCTATGTCCAAGGGAGACTCACTTCCCACTAAACACCACTTCCACAATGAACACGCATATATAGTACTTAGCCAAGAAATCCATGATTCAAGTCGCACAGCAAGAAACAGAAATCAGAGGAAGTATGCACGTGAAAATATATACCAGATAATACCGA